TAGATGATATAGCCATATTATCATATACCGGTTGAAATACCGATTACGCGACTGAATGAACATCAATGACCACGTCTACAAGTTGACTTCTCTGAAGTCGACCGGGATCATGAGCTATCTAAGGATCGCCATCAACCCGATCGGCCCCAAGACGATTCCCTTAAGTCGACCGAGGGCAAGACGACTTTCCTCAAGAAGACGAGTGAGCATAACATAATCTCCGGATGCGCATGTGACCAAAGTCGACTTGGCGATACCCGAAGTCGACTTATCATGCCTCGAGGTATCAAGACCTCCGATGCTTTCATACACTTCAACATATCGTAAGAAAACTGCCAAGCTAGAGAATCCAAAGGGGATAAGAAAGAATCTGGATGCTGACTTGGAGATGGACGAAATGCGAACCGGCCATGGCATTTTGGACACTTCGTGTAAGTCGGCCAGGGCATTTTGGGTACTTCAGGTAAATGTTTTGGCCTCTATATAAAGGAGCTGAGGTAACTCCAAACCTTAATTTTCACACTCTCTACTCATTTTCCCAGCTGCTGCTCCTACTGAGCAGAGCTCATCCTCATCACTCTCACTGACTTGAGCGTCGGAGGCTCTTCACCGGAAACACTTCCGGTGTTGAGTTCTTGCAGGTGTTTGCAGTGGTTCAAAGACGATTTTCAAGGACGGTTCAAACAGATCGGAGCTAATAACCACCGGTTCGCTCCAGATCTAGGAGGAGACCCATCACATATTATTATTTTAATTTTCACAAATATTGACTTTCATCCTAAAATATTTATAAACAATCATAACATATTAAGTAATTTTCTCCCTCCGACTAATTGAACGAAATCACGTTGGTAAATTAATATTTGCCCATATATTTTTTACTTTTATTTAATTATATGAAAATAAGCAACATATTAGATTAAAAATAATTTATAATTTAAGAGATAATGATCAGATACATTAAATAATTTTACTAATCACAGATATATAAAATTAAAATATCTATTCAATAAAATTTAAACATGTAATTTATTTGTAATTATGATAATTTCTTTTATCTTTTTTTTTTTATTGAATTCCTTCCATAATAAATTTATTGTAAAGTATATTTCCGTTGCATATAAATAAACTTAAAGTCGTGGGGTGCAAATTAGAAAAACCTAATGATTATATAAGGAACTTATTTTTCGGAAGTTGCTAAATAAGTTCTTTTTATTCATTATAAGAAAAATAAATTCTAAAAAATGTATGTGTGTGTTTTGTAAATATTTTAACAAAATATTTTCTTAAATTTACTTACATAAATTTAAATTAATTACATTAATAAGTAATATTTAAGTACATTAAATATTCTTTATGTATATAAATTTAAATTAATTACATTAATAAATACTATTTACATGCATTAAGTATTTTAATTACATAAATTAAGAAGAAGAAGTAGATTATTTCTACAAATTTTATAATTAATAAAAATAAAATTATATGAAAATAATTTATAAAAAAAATACTAATTGATAATTATATGGTGAACAAAAATAAGTAATACTGTTATTTGTTTCTTATATCATGAATAAATATATTTTAAAACCATGTTTATAATAGTATAACGTGTTAAGGGAATAGTATATTAATTCACATGTTAATGTTATTGCTAAAATAAACATCACTGATTAAAAGATATGGAAACTGGATGATTGGACCCTATTATTTTTTGTGCGTAGCTGGGCAAGTCCTATGAAAATAAAAATGATTAATTCAATATAGATGTCTCGTGTATCTCACGAACTACGTATTAATTATGTATGTAGATAGAGATGTTTCAATTACGGGTAGGCGGTCCAGTCCGGGTCGCATTTCAAAACAATGTTTTAGAGTTGTTTATTACTTATGAGCAAATGGAATTATGCTAACCACTTGACTTCCAAGTTCCAACAAACGGATATAATGGTAACCATAAAATACGGTGTTGTGATAATTTTTGTTTATATTTTTAATCAACCTTAGTTAATTGATGGGTAAACAAAACCAATTTGCAACAGAGAGCAGTCAAAAGTAGCAACATTCTTTACTAGCCTTGAACACGAAACACCCTTTAACCGTATAAACAAATAAAGTTACTACCAATCATCATCATTCCAATTCCACAATTAACCACACAGAAATCCCAAAAAATGGAGTCGCGCTTCCACTCTCTGCTCCTCCTACTATCATTGCTCAATTCTCCCATCCTCAATCGGGCCGACGATTATGGCGGCGTCGGAGTGATCAAAGTCAATTACAAATTCTCCGGGTCGGACCCCACTCTCAGCGCCCTAAGGGCTCACGACGACGTCCGCCACCTTGCAATTTTCACCGGAGTCGACCTTCCCCTTGGAGGCACTGGCCGCCCTGAAGCCGTCGGGTCTGCGAATTTTGATTTTTCTATATTCTTCAGTTTTTCGTTTTCATTTGTTTTCCTCGCATCCATAAATTTGGAGGTGATCGCGTTTTAATTTTTATTTTTCCTTCTGTAAGAATGATGAATGTTAACTTTTTTATATCTTGCCTGACGTGTTTCTTACGCAAATTTCTGCATATTTCGATAATACGCCTGACCTTTGACTTCAGATAGCAGTATTTGATTATTTGGTTTTGAGTTATATTTTAGAATTTACAAGTGGTAGTGGTGAAGTTGTGTGCACTTTAATGTGGTATGACTTCCATTTTTTGCGCTTTCCATGAACCTCCTCATGATTTTCTGCATGGATATAGTGTATTCATGGAACTGTGATGTTCCAACAATCAAGGGGTTGTTAAGATTGTCATTGGTTGTTCTATGTTTCCCTTTTGTTAATGTTTGGTTTTAGTCCCTGTTTGTAAACAGTGATAATGCTTTGAAATTTAGACGAGCTTAAATATTTTGGTGAATGTCTTGAGAAAAAATGGAACAGAGTGGTTAATATTTTTCCTTTCTATATCCAAATCAATGATTGTGTAGTGTGCTGAAGAACCAGAGACTAGCAAATAGCATAGCTGCATATTTGAGTTTCTAATGTGGTCCTGATTAAGGAACTGGAGCGGTTAGTCTGTACATTAAGGAACTGGTCATTTGTGAATGTGGAATTACTATTTACTATTTTTGTTGCTGATCTGTAGTAAGTTGCTTCATTTTCCTGAGCATATGTTCATTATGTAGCTCTGTCCAGTTTGTTACTTATACTAGGAAAGTTTGCTTTCTGTTGGATTCACACCATGCTTAATTTTGTAGCGGTTGCTTCTCTTTATGTAGTAATCATGCCTTGCATGTAGTGACTGGGATAATGACATACATATGTAGAAAATAAGCTCATGGACATGATTTCATCTTTTTATAACAGCGGGCAAACTTACATGTGATTGTGAATTCCCATGCACACTTCTTGTAATATGTGGCTATCACTGTACGCGTGTACTAACATGGAAAGTCCAGTGCTAATGAAAAAAATAATGCTTGGTATACACACTTTTTCATTTCTGACTGGCATTTGATGTTTCCCACGAATTATCTGCAAACCCTATGTGGCTATCAAAGCTATTCTTGAAGTTCTTAGTTGCGTATGTAAAATGACTCAAAAAATTCTGCTGCTATTTCAAAGCACGTTAGGTACATGTATTGATTTGTTCTCTCGTAGATAGATATTGCAAAGATTGTCTTGTTTAATTTTGTATGTACTTAATATGGCAGCGTAGTTTATCTCATTTAATGTTTATTGATTGTGCAGGCTGTACTATGCTAAAATAGCTATTGGAACGCCTTCAAAGGATTACTATGTACAAGTTGATACTGGAAGTGATATAACATGGGTTAACTGCATCCAGTGCAGCCAATGCCCCAAAAGAGGTTACCGAGGAGTATGCCACTTATCTTTGTTTTGCTTCATATTTTGAATTTAGAGATGAGATTTTTCTTCATTCGTAGGAGTAACATTCTTGTTGTTCTTGTATGTACTTACTTGTGATATTCTTCTATTTTTGCAGATAGAACTTACGCTTTACAATCCCAGAGAATCTCTTACTGGGAAACTAGTCTCATGTGATCAACAGTTCTGTAAAGAGATTGGTGGAGGCTTGACCGGTTGCCGTGCAAATACATCATGTTTGTACACCGAGGTCTATGGAGATGGGAGTTATACCATGGGCTACTTTGTTGAGGATATTGTCCAGTATGATCGAGTGTCTGGTGATCTGCAAACTACATCTGCAAATGGAAGTGTTATATTTGGGTATGCACAATCGGTTTCTCTTTTATTTATTCATTTATTTATTTTGTTATGTCAATTACTTGTGACTGTCATTTTCTATGTACCGTTTTCAAAACTTATATATTGCTTCTGGAGCATGTATCCTATGCTAATATATGTGGATATTAGTATATCTAAATGATTTAACATCCAAACATTTTTTTGTCTTAAAACTGCAAGAGTGACTATGTCATGTACAAGTTGGTGCATCAGTATCTTGTTGTATTCAACATAAGGCTATAAGCTGATCTTCAAAAGAAGAAGTTTAAGTATGGTGCCACCTGTCAGATGAGGCATGTCAGAAAATCATGGATTTTAGAGGACATGGGTCCACTTAATACAGTTCTTACTTCGATGTGATTGTATGCATGTGTTCTTATCTACAGTAGTGGTATATTGGTTAATGCTCCATATACTGCATTATTCATAATGTCACATGCCTTCTATAGTGCTACAGAGAAGTTGAATATTTATCTTACTAGTGGCAAACAATAACGGTCTACCATATATCATCCTAAGTTAAGTCAGTTTAATTGGATTTGTTACCGTTGACCATTGTAAGAAACTTGTGGCTGTAATAATACCCAGTCTTGCCAGATGATGATTGGAGAAATGTGAACACACAGCTTTAGAACTCTTGCATATATGCATGTGTGTCTCGATTCTGCAGTATGTGAATTCTCAAATAAGAGAAGTCCTAAAAACAAATGAAGAAATTACATAAATTGGGTGCCAGTGTTTGTGCCATCTTCTAAGGTGGATTCCTGAATGGCCTAATGCCTTCCTATAGATTAAGCAAACTGTACAAGTTTCTACAGATGAAAATGCATCAGAATGATAACCCTGAGGACATGCTCTATTCCAAGTAAATACACCAAATTATATTTTAAATAAAACACAAAGTTGATCTTTGCATTGGTCAAAGATGGAATTTTCAGCATACCAGTAGCAACTCAAAGGTGGCTCCCAAACTTCATTCAGACAATTAGAGGTGGAAAGACATGCTGCATGAAAGCTTTAGGTCAGATTGATTACCTGCGTAAATAACTGGTTGTTTGTTTCTTCAGGATAATACTCAAGGATTTATGTTGCTACATTACATTTTCATAACTTCGAAAAAGAATTCATAATTGAGCAGGATATGGTTCATGAATCTGCAAACTGCTTTCTTTTATGGTACTATACTCGCATCATTTCGTGCAACATGTATGGTATTAGTTCAAGATCATTTTGTACCCTAGTCTGTCTTTGGAAGGTGTAGAAACAATACACTCCTGTATGTACATGAAACTACATGAAACTGATATATCATAAGAATTTGAAGTTCTTGTCTAATTAAAGTTTTCTCGAGTGTGATAACATGATTCGAATAAATCTTTTGTTAGATGTGGTGCGAGACAGTCTGGGGATTTAGGATCTTCAGATGATGCACTTGATGGGATATTGGGTTTTGGAAAATCAAATTCATCAATACTCTCACAGCTTGCCTCATCTGGAAGAGTGAAAAAGATGTTTGCCCATTGCTTGGATGGTGTGAATGGTGGAGGTATCTTTGCTATTGGGCATGTTGTTCAACCACAAGTAAACATGACACCTCTGGTGCAGGACCAGTACGTCAGATCCTCATCTTTGATTCTAATTCTGTTTTTGATTTTTCAGCCATGGAATATCTTGTGGGTGGTAGTAAATTTAAACATGCTACACTAGATTAGTTATTTTCTTGGAATATCTTGTAAACCTATTCGTGTAACCTTCCAGATAGAGAACTTGAGCCCAATGTAGTTTGCTGAAGAAATTTATTTGTATGTTCATTTGAACGAAAGTTGAAAGGTGGACACATGGTATCATATATGATGTTTACAACATAGTATGGACATCTATTGTTTTTATCTTTCTCTTCCTGATTCCTCACAAGTTAGATGGTAATCACAAATACTCTCTGATTTTTTTGGCTATCATCTTCATTTGAAGCATAATGTAAGAGAAAGCAAAATCAACCATATACAGGGGTTGTAAAGTATCTGGCAGCAGTTTGATATGTATCAGGAGGATTATATAAGTATTTAGGGGACTAATGGTGGTGCTGGTTGGATTGTATTTTAGGCTTGGTAGATGGATTTTGAATTACTGAACTAAGAGTTCTGAATGACTCAGCAACATACAGAGTTTACAGCTGATAGCAAATTGTTTGGGTGGTTCCATGTAAGCAAGTATTATTGGATCAAAATAATGAATTGTATAGCAGCAAAAAGATATAGCTTACAGAAACATATTAGGATCATGAAATAGATAGAAGTATGGTAACCAATTATTTGCTATTGAGAAGAGGGTACTTTATGCAATAAAATAATTCCTCATTGGTTCCATGAAACAAATTTAAGGAACTTTAGTCATGGAGTGTTTTGGTTCAATATATTATGCTGCTCTACTTTGAGCTTCTAATATTGATTAAGCTGACAACTGTATGACTGATTCATCACTCATGGTTTTTATTAAAACTATTGTTTGTTTTGTTCATATGTCTTTTCTGTTTGCTTAATTCTCTTTGTAATTGTGCTATCTGAGTATGTTTATATTGGTCGGACTTCTACATTGAACAATGCTTCTGTGAATTTGTAGGCTCCATTACAGTGTGAATATGACTGCAATTCAAGTTGGTCATGTTTTTCTCAATCTGACAACAGATATATATAATATTGTAAACAAGAAAGGGGTAATAATTGATAGTGGCACCACACTGGCGTATCTGCCTGAGGCAATTTATAACCCACTTGTGAAACAGGTATGTCAATGGCAACATTTCCTATGAAATGTTTTGTCATAGCCGTAATTCGAAGGAGGGAGCTTACCATTTGTGTGGTTTATCCTTTTTAGATACTCAGTGGGCAGAGGAACATGAAATTGAGAATTCTTGAAGATAAATACACTTGCTTTGATTATTCCAGAAGGTATATTGTCCATTCGATACTCTGAAAGAGTTGAATCTCAATTGATTGTAACTGTGGCATATGTTTTCGGTACAATGATTCTTCAGAAAGTAGTCGGAGGAAAATTTCATCAATCAAATAAATTCTGTATCTGTCACCAGTATCGTATCAATACCATTTCATTTTTTTTTTTTTTGGTTTTACATTGGCTCATTAGATCAGAAAACTTGTTTGGTGCCTGCTTTTTTCCTGAATTCTTGATAAGTGACTGCGAAATTTGGAATCTATACAATCTGACATTATAGTAAACTATATTTCTCAGATCATATTAACGTGTAACTTCCCATGTGTGTTCTTAGAATACTTATATACTAATGTGGTTGTTTTAGTTATATTTATAGGAGAAACACATGAATTGAGCCTGATATATATAGGATTGTCGTACAGTAAAATGAGAAATTATATAGCCTTGTTAATATTTAGCATTTTCTCGGCATGGCTTAGTCAACTATATTTTGTAACAAGTTAAGCACATATACACTCCAACTTAGTTTAGTTGTTTATGATTTATATCTCACATAGCTGGAGAAGAAGTTCATTTAGTCCCTCGGAGGTGAGCCTAAATAGAAGAGATTCTATTGTACAGTAATATGAAAAATAATATCCTTCTTTCTTTCTGTGTCATGATGTATATACTTCTGCCACATAATTCATCACAGATCAGATAAATTTGATATGAAGTCTAATCTCTTATCTTGATTGCATACTAACCAAAAGCAGTCATGGGCAGTTATCAATGTTGTAACCAACGCTGGGACATAGTGCGCGTTATATAGTTTGCAACTTGAATTTTTATTTTTCTTTTGGTTTGGTTTCTGTTTTTTTTTTCTTTTTTTTTTTCTGAATAAATGAAATGTTACTATATTCCGTGATGTATAGTTCTATGTTTATAGAATCATTGAAATTCATTTTTTCAGTAGTAGAAAGGCCCTGTTTTGCTTCTTTTTTTCATTGTCATTTATGCTGAGTAACTTTGTTTACATCTACTGCAGTGTTGACGATGTATTTCCATCAGTAATCCTTCATTTTGGAAATTCACTTTCATTGGAAGTTCATCCACATGACTATCTATTCCTTTTTGTAAGTGTCCTCTGTTAATTTAATCGTTAAATAGCACGATCTTTTGCCTGCTTTGTTACTGACTTACTATATATTGCTGTTCCGTATCTGCTTGTCTTTTGCATGGTTAAATTGTTGTATGTAGTAATATAGTTTGCATACTGTTAAAATGATAGAGATCAGGAAAGTAAATCATGAGAAGGAAATCAAGAATGGAATAAAATATCTAATGCACAAATCAAGGGATTGACGGGAATCATGGGATCCTATTTGGCATGGAAGGCTATCAAGTTATCATATTTCTTCTTTATAACTACTACCTTAAATAAATAATATGCTTAAAAAAGGGTTGTGAGGAAGTGATGATCGGGTATCGAGAGAAAATATTGTTTGTCGGCTTTTTAGCTCTGGCGGGATTATTTCCCGAGGAGAACTTCATGTTCTCGGAGAACCTTGTGTTCTTTTTTTCTTTCTTTTTAATTAATAATATTTAGTTTCTGTTACATTGGCCCTTCACTCCTATCAATTGGTCCGACCTGCCGCTACGAATGTTGCATATTGAATCTCGCATTGAAGCCTTGGAGAAGGGTCAAGCGGTTCTTGAGTGCCGACTCACTAATGTCGAGGACGCCATCACCAAACTTACAGAGTTGGTCACACGATTTTTATCAACCAAGCACAACAATCTAGCCACCTCCCAGGTGAATCATGTCAACAACTCATTCAATGTGGATTCCATATCCTCAGTTACTATGAATCGTGTCGAAATTTTAGAACTGGAGAATCCAAATCCAAATCCACTATCTCCACTACCTCTGCACCGCTAGTTTTGGTGCAATCGGCTTTAGAGCCTCATGAGACTGCCAAGGTGCCAAGTCCCCGTTTTGATCTATGCACCCTTAAAGAAGATTTTCTTATTGATGAGCAGTACCCTCACATTTATCACAAAGTCAAGGCTATAAAATTCATGACAAATGTCTTCTCTTTTCCAATGCAAACGGAGAACTGGAAGCATATAATGCTCTATTCCAGTCTGCATAATGAGACTCGTGGCCCCTATGCAATAATCAATGGTGTTCTTTTTTACAAGTGTCGTGTAGTTTTGCCGTTTACTGGACAAAGTTTTTTTCTTTGCAGCCTTGAGGACAAGGCTGTTTTCTGGCGGCCGACAATGATAGAGATCAGGAAAGTAAATCATGAGAAGGAAATCAAGAATGTAATAAAATATCTAATGCACAAATCAAGGGATTGACGGGAATCATGGGCTCCTATTTGGCATGGAAGGCTATCAAGTTATCATTTTTCTTCTTTATAACTATTACCTTAAATAAATAATATGCTTAAAAAAGGGTTGTGAGGAAGTGATGATCGGGTATCGAGAGAAAAATATTGTTTGTCGGCTTTTTAGCTCTGGCGGGATTATTTCCCGAGGAGAACTTCATGTTCTCGGAGAACCTTGTGTTCTTTTTTTCTTTCTTTTTAATTAATAATATTTAGTTTCTGTTACATTGGCCCTTTACTCCTATCATAAAAGTTCCGACAAATTTGTTGATCTTTTCTTTTCCATACCACCTGCCCATATGAATCTTGCAGTAAGAAGGTAAAATAACCTTCCCCAAATGTGTCCCCACACGAGTTATTTCATTTTTCTGGCAATTACAAAAATTTAAAACTTTCATTTAATCTTCCAAGAATAGTTGCTGACAATTTTTTTGGTATGCAATTGACCTTTCAATCTCTTTGAAGAAAGGGTTTCAGCTACTTCTAAAATGTCAAAACTGACTAATAGCTACTTTTATGGAATATCAAATGTTATGAGCATTTATTTGCAAAATTTGAAGGTTAAGCTAGAATTGTGGAAAAGTGGAACGTTTTGGCATTCTTCTTGCAAATAACTTATATGTGTTTAGACAGTGTGTTGTACATTCTTTTTGCAAATAACTTATATGTGTTTAGACAGTGTGTTGTTGTACAACACAAATGCTTAGGGAAAATTCTTACTGACAAGTAATATTTTTTTTGAATGGTTGGACATTCCTTTAGTAACTAACAACTAATAAAAGAGAAAATTCAGCTCATTATCTTCCTTAACATGCACAACATTCTGTGTGATGTTGCGATTTTATTGATTTATTGGTAGTGATGCAGAACTCGGCCGTGGTGCTAATTAGCCCCAGGTCGACTCAAAAAACCTAAAATTGGCAGAAAAACTCTCCATCTTCATTAGTTGGCGACTACTTGGCCTTGGCGGCCTAGCCAGTCCTGGGGACACAGTTTTTCCCTAAAAAGAATATTTGAAAACAGAACGACACCCGTGTAATTAATAATATTGGCCTAATGCCTAGCAAGTTTTGCAATCTTGTTTATTTGTCGGGTTTTTGGAGTCTGATTGTTCATGCACTGTGTTGACTGCTTTAGTTGGAAAAAAGTGATTGAATATTTTAATATGGAGAGCATTTCTTTGAGGAGGTGTGCGATAGATTGAAGTTATTGGACCACGTGTTAGGGACCAAAAGGAGTTTAAGGCTTTCTTTGTGTTTTAATTCATAAAGATTTTAGCTGTGTTTTGTAGTCTTAGTTTGAAGAAGATTTCTCATCCCCTTTTTATTCTTGCTTGCCTGCCTGTTTTTGCAGTATTTTTTGTTTGTTTCGTTCATACAACAATTTACCTCCATCAGCAACGTATGATAATTCTCTTTTGACTACTTTGTTGTCACAATTGTTATTTTTGTCTTTACTATCGTCCGAGCCACTGATTATTTTGTTTCATTGTGTGTGTAAATTCCAGAATGGAGAAAACAGTTGTCTTAAGTACTCTTTAGTAATCAGTTCATCTTTATTTGTTTCCATATCCCCAGACAATACATGAATATTTCTCCTTTCTATTTAACATTTGGAAAAAATGGTAGGTAGTAGAGATTGTCCGTGAATGTCCTACTAGACTTTATTTACTAGATCTTGAAGTCAGTGAATTGCTGACTGATGAATAACAATGCCATAATGTTTAACTTTACATACTCCAAATTATGGAATATATAAAACTTCCTCCTCCCTTCTC